AAATGGCCATTTGCATGCGGGCCTCTTTGGATTGAGACATTTATATAAAATTGATAGGGATAGCACGCGTTGATACTTGTGTATTCAAATATTTTGAGAGAGCGGCGAAAATTCGCGGTTCGGTGGTATCCGCGGTTCGGTGGTTGATTACGTTATAGCTCAGCTTCAATTGCGAATGATTTGCAAGCACTCAATCTCTCTAAATCTCTCCAAGGTAATGTCAAGTTTGTTAAATAGCTACCACCAGCGATGTTCGGAGAGGCCCTCCGCAGTCGATATTCCCTCGCTTACAAAAAGCCTGACTCGCAATGGCGGCGTTGAGGAACAATACTTACCTAAGTGACCTCTGTGTACGCCGACAAAATCCATCATCGTAGGTCTCCCTTGACAACGGTTTCACTGCTTTTGTTTCTTGACAAGCAGTGCATAGCGTTTACACATTATGTGCGTAACTGGAACTCAATCAGATCACCTCCATAGGCTGCGTCGTAGCGCTCATGCCATATAAAACCTCATTGCATATCGTCTGAAGCCGTAAAGGCTACAGGCCAGGTCTGGCTGTCTGTTAAGGTTCCGGAAGGCCCACAAAGGAATCTCATCTGAGGGCTCGTGACGGAGAAAATGCAAGCCGTCATTCGAAATGCGGATGCTATTCTCTGGGAGGCGGACTCGCGATTAGAAAGGGTAGTCAAGGCTGTCGTGGGTAGTCATTCTCACGGTGAACTGCGTCGGCAGAGTGGACCCTCAAATATGGCTTTTCTAGGTGTATGTTAAGGATGCAAGCATCATGCCTAAGTTCTGTATGCTGTATGACACTTGCTTCCCTCACAAACCGGGTTGCTTTAGCTGTTGATTTCATTGCTGCTGTCTAGTCCCTTTTTCGACTTAAGGTTGTCTGCCTGTTTGCCAAAACTGAAAAAGGGAGAGAGATCGGTTCTTTAGAACCGACTAGATCAGTGACAAAGGATCTAAACGGGTGATTTTTCGCTTCTAGAACATGGTCAATGTGCTTGTGTCAAGACTATGTAGATAGCGCCTGATATATGATCGAATTATGGATTGTAAAGCAAGTACCTGAGTCATGAGGCCCGATTGGTATATCGGAAGTAATATCTTCTGAAGAATCCCGCTCTTCAACCGGGTAATTTTTCCAACCTCTCAACGCGGGAACTGTTCTCCCCTATTGCGTCAACCCCGACCATCCACATCAAGTTGCGCAGCCAGATCCAACAGCTGTGTCGGTGAAATCCCCACAGTCATGTCTGTATTGAAAAAGTCCCAGCCAGGTTCTTCACTCGCCGTCGCAAGCCCTGCAACTCGGTCTGTCGAATAACCCGGACGGTCATCATCCGCCTGCAGGGGAATTGTTAATGGATCGTAGACGGGTGTCAACGGCGCCAGCAACTGCTCGAGCTGGGTGAGTTCGAGCTTACGGAGTGGCGCTACTGAGCTGCTCCCTTTCGAGATCATTTTGTCCAGAATACATTGGATATTTTCGCACCAGGAGTCGTCATGGACAAGAGATGGTGCCACGACGCGGATAACATGGAGAAGAAAGGCAGAAGAGAATGCGTCTTCGAGCTGAAACGGTAGGAATGCTTCTGAAGTGAGAGGTTAGGGACTTTGCCAGACTAGCCTAATATTATGCGCAGGCAAAACTGAGGAACAGAAACGTACCTAGGAGATCCTCATCACCTATGACACGGAGGATACGGAGCACCGTCTGCGCGGAATCGACGCACGATTGTATGAGCGAGGCGACGGCTGGCGTTAAGGGGATTGAATGGGACTTTTGGACATCGGGCCGCTCTATGTGCATGTGCAGGGCACACATTACCAAAGGTCTCGTTGTCAAAACAACACACTGTTACGTCAGTGATTGGGATGCTACTTGAAGCGGATATCGGGTTACTCAACATGATGGTAAAAGAGAATTAGCCTGAGCGCCATCCGTGATGCTCGATTGATCGAGCCTTGGAAATGGGTATTCACATATATTTCAACTGCAAAGCATTGTGCACGAGTGTCTCCGAACAAATAGAGCCCAGCATGTCAGAGGTAAAATTTCTGCCTTTCTCCAATATTCATGACGAAGTCTGTTGAAAATTATAGAAATGTATGATGAGTCAAGACATGCAAAAACCCTTTCTATATTCGTAGATCCTGCCTTACTTATCCATCGCGAGCTCACTGACTGGTATTTGAGTGTAGGGGATAAGCATCGTCACTAACTAAGGGAACAGAGACCGGATGCAATTTCTTCGACAACCTCTTTCTTTTGCAGGCCGGCAATCCACTCAGATGGTATCTCTTCAATCCCATAATATGCTCCGGCTAGCCCTCCATATACTGCCCCCACGGTATCTGCATCATTGCCCAGATTGACGACCTTGAAAGCTCCGCTTTCAAAGGTGCTTGTGGTAAAAAACGCCCAGAGAGCAGCCTCAAGTGTGGAAACAACATATCCTGATGATTTGATATCATCTTCATCAGTCTTCTCCCAATCAGTGATACTTGAATAATGATCAAGCCGTTGCTTCACCTGAACATCTATAAAAGCTGTACTAGTGACTTCTTTGGCAAGATCTTCCTTGCTAGAGCCATTCATAGCGCACACAATGAGTCTGGTGTAGACCATACAGCATTCGGCGCACGTGGGGTAAGGATGAGTGGCATTTGAGGAAAGCGTAGCAGTGGACAATGCTCTGTCCATGTCCTGGAAATACACAAGCGCAATGGGTGCAACACGCATAAGAGAGCCGTTTCCACAAAACATCTATGGCTCTCAGTATATAAAATTTTGCCTCTTGGAGACAATGCAACTTACCCCACGCTTCAGGGCTTTGTCGATTTCATGTTGTCCGCCCTCGTGACCAATTGGGTCATCTTCTCGAATATGAGGCGTCTTTTCAAAGTAGCGCTTCCAGATCATTAATGCTTGTCTGGTTCCAGCACCAATATCGAAGCATTCATCAGTAGCTGACAAGTAACCATTTTCGTACCACTTGATGTAGTTACAAATTGCAGCCTGGGGGACAAAGTTGCCTCTCGAGGCAATGATGGACTGAGCAAGACATAGGGTCATAGATGTGTCGTCAGTCCATGTGCTGTTAGGTCTGGATTAGTTCGAGTGCGAATGATAAGTAAATGGTGATGAATGCTCACCCTGGTGGGACATTGAAGTTGTCATTGTGCATGAAGTGGGTTACTGGTGGGAAACTGCCCCGTGGTTGGAACTCGACAGGGCCGCCGAGGGCATCAACAACTGCCACGCCAAAGATAGATCCCTTGATTCGAGACTGCATTGTTGGAGTTTCCATGGTACTTGATAGGTATAGAAACGGTATCTGTGCATCCAAAAGATAGCCACACGGTTATGGATGAACTAAAGATGAAGTCAGATATGAGTGTAGGGGTCAACTTGTGGGGTACAGGTCAGGCAGCCGTGAGAGATAGGGGGCCGCAGCCACATTTATACGAGCATGTTGCGAGAGAAAGAAGAATGTGGCTATGCAATGATGGCGAATGGCGGAGCACCTTTGATCGTATGAGCTAACAGGCAACAAGCGCAATTCATATTCGATGGTGGCCATATTGTAAGAGACACGATTTATCTGAATATTATGACTACCTAGAAGAGAAGACGCTCTAAAGCGAGGGTCGTCCGATTGGTCGAGGCGTCTGCTCACGTGTTCCTCTACAACTCAATGATGTCAGGATTCCATCCCGTTTAGGTTTAGCGTCCCGACTTAGTCAGCCTATATATAGTTGGCCCCTGAGCCATCCTAATTGGACACTTGGCGCTTCCCGATTCTCTCAGGTTATGGCCCTATGTTG